TCACAGCTCTTCTAGAATCCTTGAAAGGGCTATTTAACCGTCACTGTCCTTAGAGTTTATCCGAAACCTACTTCCTCATTCAAGATTCGCACATATCATACGTACAAAATCTCCGAATATTTCTTTCAAATCACGGACAAATTTGCCACAGAATGATTTTTACAGCGGTAAAATTATAATAAGAAGTTGTGTATGAATATTTTCTACACTATCGCTTTTGTGCTTTGCTCTACACTGCTTGTAAGTCTTCTCTAACAAAATTCAGTAGCGTCTTTGTCAATGGAGGACAAGAGAATACTACGCGGAAAGTTGCAAATATAGTTATTCACAATGCCGTGTTCAGCTCTAGTAATTTTGTTTTGTGAACGTTCAGATAATATACAATTTTTCCAGAACCTCCAGATAACATTTTTTATTCACAATATTATTTATCTATGCCAAGACTGGATATCTCATCCGGATTTATTTTATAAGTCACGAGTTTGTTCAAGTTTCAGAGCGTCAGTGACGTCTTTGAGACATAATTTTAAGGTTATCACCAGCTTGTCCTGGGGTGATCTCGACCTATCAGTAAACTTGGGTACCAGCCTGGACGAAAGGTGTACAGAGTGCGTGTTCCGTATTTAAAGATGACTGATTACAGTAATGATTGTGATAGGGAAGAGAGTTTGAAAAATAATTTTTACCACATTTATAAAATTAGCAATAAATTTCTGGGAAAGTTTAAACACATGCATTTTCTTATGGTTTTAACCAATTAACTTTCAGAAAATGGTGGAAAGGAAAATGGAACAGGAAGTGAAAACTGTAAGAAACTGTTTTAAAAAAATTAAAATTAGCCAATTTTAAAAAAGTAAAATGTTACGGAAAATCTGTGACGTCTCAAACCAAGATACTTGGTTTCATAGTTTCGCCATCGCTTTATACATGAAACTTGTGTGTATTAATAGTGTAACGAAAAAAAACCCTATCCCGACATGGGATTTTCAAAATTTTCGCGCGTTCCATAATTTTCGTTGTGGGCCTGAATAAAAGTTCGGTTATAGAGACTGCGAAGTTTGACTACCGACGATGTTCGGATATTTTGAACGATTTATTTTCTTTGTACGCCAGGACGCCAAACTGAGAACATATCTCGTAACCCTTATCAGATATGAATTGCGACCCCCAACGAGCCGTCACACAGTGGATCGATTCAATAGGATCGGTCGGACAAAATTTGGAAACTTCAAACCCTTCTAACTCCGTTTATACAAGACTTTGAGGTTCTAAAAGTGTTCCATTGGTTTTCTCGTGACATTTTCTTCCATAAACACTCCTTAAAGTTTAAAATGTAACGAAATAAATATCAAAATTCATTTTAGTAAAAAATTTCATGTACGACCTCTCTAATTGACTCCATCCACTGTGCGCCATCGGTTACAGCACACACAGCTTTATCATCACTTATCAGAGGAAATAAAAAGCCTCTTTTTCATTGGGAAAGTGTGGTGAAGCCTTTGAAAGTTCAAGTCACCGAGGCGCAATAAAAAAACGTTGTCCGATGCATCTTCCCCCTATTTCCGCTCTCTCTCCCCCCTGCATTTTTCCGCCCCTCCTCTCGCTCTCTCTTCCCTCCCTCGAACGTGAGCTGGCGTTTCAGGACGGGAGCATAGAGTAGCCGTAAGCCCCCCGCCGGCTGCAAAACCGGCGCCTTCCAATCACTCCACCGCAACCCGCTCGACATCCCCCAACCCTCCTCGCAAGCCACTTCAGGAGTCACGAGATACCGAGACAGACATACTGCCGCGCCGAGGAAAATCACCGTATGAACATTCAAGAGTTGCCAAATTTCTTTCAATAAAATGCTTATTTTTGATTAACGCCTTGAATGTTCTTCTTTGAAATTTTCAGGAACTTTAGGTGAAATTGTGAACAAAATTATCTGACAAATCGGAGGAAAAATATTTACAAATTTTCCCGAAAATTCGTGATTTACGAAAGGAAATTTGGCAGCACCTGAGGGTTCATACGGCGTTTTTCCTTAGCACGGTAGCATAGCCTCCGCGGAGAGGCCATGAATCGCTCGATGAAATGTTTCACACGTAACGTTCCTACAATGTAGGTGCCGATTATTCCAACGTGATCGACAAACCGTCGTCATGAGAACGGCTTTGTCGATTGAGGTTTTTCGATCAGAGAGCGAAGAAATTTTAATAATCAACCCGCTGCAGACCTGAACTAGATTGACAGGTTGTCAATACCTTGGAAAATAGGATTTTTGTGTCGATCAATAAATCATTTATTTAAGGAGCTATTGAGTCTCATCCTGATGGATGGGCATTTATTTGTAAGAATTAAAAAAGTAAAGGTGTAAATTTTTTTTAAAAAAATCGTTTTACTGCTGAATATTGTTGCAGAGGTTTGTAGTGGAGATTAAATCCAAACGTTTATAATAGAAATGAACACATTTCTGTCAAAAGGAACTATGGAAAAGTGGGAAAGATGGGGTGTGCTCTAGAGAGCTGCATAAAAACAATGTAAAAGTGGGCTTGGTTTCCTTTGGAGGTATGGAAAAGCAGGATTTCACATTCTGTCAAACGGAACTATGTGATCCTCGGTGTTGATCCTCCTTATTCCGGGGTAGAGACTTGGTTTTGGTAGAGATGTGATCGGGGAATCGAGCACAAGTCAGGAAGAACATATGAACAAGACTAAAATCCAAGTCCGATTTTTGGCGTTGGGTTCATTCAATGGGTCAGGAGTTATATCACCGAAATGATAAAGATAAACGTCATCACTGCGGTAACTTTTCATTTTTTGGATAATCAAGAACATTGACCTTTACGGTCAGTTTGGACGATGAGCTATGACAGCATCTGCGCATACGAATGAGGATTTACACTTTATTACTGTGAGAGCCAATCCTCCTCGGGGAGTTAATATCATTTGCATTCTTTTGAGGCATAAGAAGAAATCTAAGAAGAATTCCGAAAGCCCGAATTCAGTCGGGAAATTATATGGTCCGCATAGGCGGGTCCAAACACCTCAAACGCGGGGGACAAAAGGGGGGGTCCGGGGGGCTCTCCTGAGAAAATTTTCGAAATGTTAAAGCATTTGATATGCAATTTGAGTCAATTTCATCATGAATAATCACCAAATATATGCGTCCTTCCTTCTTCTTTCCTCCATTCCCTCCTTTTCTCTTTCTTCCCAGTCTTTTCCTCCTTTTTTCGGGCGAGCAGGGGGGGGGGGGCGCCCCCTACACCTACTTTGATCGGGGGGGGGGGGGCGTACACCCTTTACGCCCCCTCCCTTCGCTGAACAAAAATATAGTAGATTTTGTCATACATGTGACACAGTGATCCGAGTATGGTAATTAACACCAGATTGTATGGTAGCATTTTCCATACAGTAGTAAGAATCACCCGAGTCCTGGTGAATACTGCTATAATGTTGGCCATTTTCACTAAATAGTATCACTGTGAACAAAATCAAGCAGACTTATTGTAGCCTTTTTTTAAAGTCATGGATCCACGTATGATGGTCTGCCACACGAGGAAAAAAGTATCACAATCCCAACTATGCTCCTGGTTGATTTTGGCGCCAGATATAAGAGTATAGTCGCACCAGTCAGAGAGAGGTACGGTTAAGTCTGCCGAATGTGTGGTTGGGTCAAACATACCTCTAGCTACTCGTATATCTGGCGCCAAAATCAGCCAGGAGTTGGTTGGGATTGTGATACTTTTTTTCAGTGTGAGTGCAAATTATTTTTGTTTCCTAAAAAGAAAAAAAAATTAATCCATCCTCGGAACCATTCTTTATGATGTACGTGTCTGCCTCATTTCGACATTAAGCGTGGAGTGGGGGGTTTGCGGTAAGGAGATCTGTGGCCTGCCAAGAACTGCACTCGATTCCGCAGAGTTGCGTTCTTTTGAGCAATTGCGGGGCCGATCGTTTCATGAATTTCGAACGAATTAAGGAAAAGTGCAGCGTTAACGGGCGAGAAAGTTGACTTGGACGAGTCGGAGTTACGGTCGCAGCCGTTAAAATTTAATTGGAAATTAGTCGGCTTCGGGCACATCACCCATCTTGTTTTGAAAAACCAGTTTTCCTCCTGCACCGTCAATGTCGCGTCACTTTTAGGAAACATCTCTGCTCTGCGTCTCGTCCCGGTTGCCATGTCTCTGGATTCACACTCTCTCAAATTGGCAATACTGCTCTCCCTTCCTTTAAATTCAGGGCGGCGAAATTTCACGTGAAATCTCTCATGAAATATCAGAAATTTATGAAAGATATTGGAAAATACCGGTTCCTTTTCATGTTGTGCAAAATGCAAAAATTGTGACTTTCTTCCATTTTTGTGTGTTTGAGTGCGGGTTGCGTACTCTATCCCCTGAAAAATATGAAATATTTCACAGCCTCGTGAAATTGCGTGAAGTATGCTGCATGCTGCTTCTAATTAGACTAATAAAAAAAAGTAGTTTCATGTTCTATTGTGCCAACTTTTAAGAATAGCCCCTGATTAATAAAAAAACGATTAAGACATATTTAATTCTCTTATGAATTTTTTGCACTTGAAAAGTGTCTCCAAAAACAATTATTCATTGATACACTAATCCTATTATTAACCATTCATGACTCACCGCGGAATTGAGTTCGTAAAAACTCAAAATCTAATCTCTGATTTAAAAACGTAGTAGATTGTTCCGAGAACATTTTGAGACAAAAAAAGAGCCAAAAAACGCCGACCCAAAGCAGAACTCAAACGTTTTGAGATGAACAGATGAAATACTTAGTTCGAATAAAACGGAAATCGAATCACTTCATGAAAAAGAGTAATTTTTATTTATTCAGACTGAAACATTAAAAATGAAGAAACAAATCGGTAGCCAGACCGAATCGCTACGATCTTTACTCTCCACGCTCTATGGTAGATACATTTTTGCTTCCCTTCTAAAACCTACGCATTATATAATAAGAAAAATTGGTAACTGTTAACTTTATTTGTATTGTTTCAGGTAGAAAAGATAACAATGAGACTGAACCGATTAAGGATAAATTCACACCACCACCACCCGCACCGAAATTTAACGAAGGTAAGCCATCAAAACTTTTAAATAATCGACCGGGAGAACCATTTACTTTCATTGGAATATTACAATTTTTTGAATGATTTGTTCTCTGCAAGGAAAGAAATGGGCCACTAGACAGGATCTGTAGTAGAAGAAAACGTCATATGTTTTCTATTCAAAATCTTTCATATAAAACAATTTACACTACAGGCAGTTTTGAAATCAACTTCTGAGCGAGATATTAACAAGTCTCTTTATCACAGATCAAATGGAGGTTTCATTATGCATATTACATCATTTGTATGTCTGCAATTTAACCAATCTTAATAGAAAACACTTTATATCTTATTCAGCAGTTGATTTTCAGTTTTCCCGTTGTGTACTTCGTTTTCCTCGTAAAATTTTGAAACACGTAGCGTTGTGCTTTAATTCATACCTCGTCTAGAGGCCCACTAGAGTATATTTTTGCGTTCGTTTCTTGAGGGGTATAAAATGTAATAATTTTGTGGGAAAAAAACTATTTTGTTATAATAAAATACGTGATAAGAACCTCACCTAACAGCAAAACTTGAAAGTAGGCAAGTAATTTGCCAAAATTTTCGCACCTTCGGTAAGGATTTCGTTCAATAGCTCTAAAAAAATTCTGTTGGACTCGAAATCTCTTGCTTACTTTTATAGTGTAGTGCTATCGGTATGATATCCAATAGGGTATTCAATTATTTGTGGTAATCAAAAATTTCTCCTGATTTGCTCAAGATCTCAGCTTATCTATGGTAAAGTCAATTTTTTTTTTAATGAGAGAGGAAAGTCCAAAAGCTTAAACAATTACCTTTTTCTATTTTGAAAAAAAAAGAAAGGCAAAAAGACAAAAAATTCTGGGAGGACTTGACGAGGGCTCTGCAACATATCGTCGCACGGAAAAAATTAAATTTCTGATTTAACGATTCAGTTGTTAAAAAACGTGACTGCAATTTTTCAAAAGTACATTTTACAACAAAAAAATGCTAATTTAAACCACCCCCGTGGTTAAATTCGCTTTCCGTTATTGTAAAATGTACTTTTGAAAAATTGCAGTCCCGTTTTTTAACAATTGGATCGTTAAATAATGAATTTAATTATTTCCGTGAGCTCCTCTGCGTAAGGGCGTAGCTTTATTTTCACATGAGCCTTGGAAAGCATCGAGGTATATGGAGAACAGGGTTCACGTGGAAATCGAGATGCACCCTCACGTTAGAGGAGCGACAATATGAGAGTATATATTTGCATATTAAATTGACTACATTTTGCAATTTGGAACTATAAATTCTAGCCCGGTTTAAAAACAACGTATGTGCCATTAGTTTCCCTATGCACATAAGTGTTTTGCCAGAAGAGCCAGAATTTATAGTTCCAAATTGCAAAATGCAGTCCAATATCCACCTGCACTTCGATTGTTGAATCGTTATGGAATGACCTTGATCGATTTATAGCATTCTCAAGATAGGGAGTTATCGATCAAGATCAATATCAATATATAGCATTGCCAAGATAGGGATTTATCGATCAAGATGGATATACAGCATTGTCAAGATAGGGAGTTATCGATCAAGGCCATTGGACCGTCTAAAAGCCTCTGAAGACAGCTCAAAGAACAGACCCTCCCCTCATGAAGCCTTTCCGAAGTCAGAATCTGAAATATGCGCTATTTAAAAAACTGGTCGGTCATTGGTGATGGTACCGAAATTCAACATCAACGGCAAGGTTAAAATGAATGCGGTTACGTAATAGCAGCGCCGGAAAACGTGAACGCTGTCAAGTGGAATGAACATATCGCAAGATGGTCTCGGAAACCCCCACCACCCCCTCCCCATTTGAGCCCCCCTCGGAAAAAGAACTTTTCAGTTCGATACATCGAGCTCGGGAAATTCGATGTATCGAAGCGGAGGGTTGCCGCTATCCCGGGAAAATCCCGAAAAACCGTGGGTCCGTATCTCTGAATCGTGATCAATAAAGAATAACATACGGGCCATAATGTTACTTCAGTACATACGCGTTTCTTTCAGAATTCCCACGGAAGATACGGCTTTTTCCAGCTTTCTTGTCCTATTTAGGCGAAAACTTGACAAGCCTCGAATCATTCCGAGTCCGAGCTCCGGCCGTTGCCAAAATCCGCCTCCGACGGTTTTTTCTATTATTTTATTTTCGGTCGGAGATGAAATGCATTCGAATGATTTTACGAGTCGTACTTTTGCTTTCGTCTTGACGAATGTCCAATTAAAATATTCCCACCGACCCGTCCGGGCGTCCTGTCGCGTCGGGACGAGACCCCCCCCCCCCCCCCNGGGGGGGGGGGGGGGGGCGTACACCCTTTACGCCCCCTCCCTTCGCTGAACAAAAATATAGTAGATTTTGTCATACATGTGACACAGTGATCCGAGTATGGTAATTAACACCAGATTGTATGGTAGCATTTTCCATACAGTAGTAAGAATCACCCGAGTCCTGGTGAATACTGCTATAATGTTGGCCATTTTCACTAAATAGTATCACTGTGAACAAAATCAAGCAGACTTATTGTAGCCTTTTTTTAAAGTCATGGATCCACGTATGATGGTCTGCCACACGAGGAAAAAAGTATCACAATCCCAACTATGCTCCTGGTTGATTTTGGCGCCAGATATAAGAGTATAGTCGCACCAGTCAGAGAGAGGTACGGTTAAGTCTGCCGAATGTGTGGTTGGGTCAAACATACCTCTAGCTACTCGTATATCTGGCGCCAAAATCAGCCAGGAGTTGGTTGGGATTGTGATACTTTTTTTCAGTGTGAGTGCAAATTATTTTTGTTTCCTAAAAAGAAAAAAAAATTAATCCATCCTCGGAACCATTCTTTATGATGTACGTGTCTGCCTCATTTCGACATTAAGCGTGGAGTGGGGGGTTTGCGGTAAGGAGATCTGTGGCCTGCCAAGAACTGCACTCGATTCCGCAGAGTTGCGTTCTTTTGAGCAATTGCGGGGCCGATCGTTTCATGAATTTCGAACGAATTAAGGAAAAGTGCAGCGTTAACGGGCGAGAAAGTTGACTTGGACGAGTCGGAGTTACGGTCGCAGCCGTTAAAATTTAATTGGAAATTAGTCGGCTTCGGGCACATCACCCATCTTGTTTTGAAAAACCAGTTTTCCTCCTGCACCGTCAATGTCGCGTCACTTTTAGGAAACATCTCTGCTCTGCGTCTCGTCCCGGTTGCCATGTCTCTGGATTCACACTCTCTCAAATTGGCAATACTGCTCTCCCTTCCTTTAAATTCAGGGCGGCGAAATTTCACGTGAAATCTCTCATGAAATATCAGAAATTTATGAAAGATATTGGAAAATACCGGTTCCTTTTCATGTTGTGCAAAATGCAAAAATTGTGACTTTCTTCCATTTTTGTGTGTTTGAGTGCGGGTTGCATACTCTAGCCCCTGAAAAATATGAAATATTTCACAGCCTCGTGAAATTGCGTGAAGTATGCTGCATGCTGCTTCTAATTAGACTAATAAAAAAAAGTAGTTTCATGTTCTATTGTGCCAACTTTTAAGAATAGCCCCTGATTAATAAAAAAACGATTAAGACATATTTAATTCTCTTATGAATTTTTTGCACTTGAAAAGTGTCTCCAAAAACAATTATTCATTGATACACTAATCCTATTATTAACCATTCATGACTCACCGCGGAATTGAGTTCGTAAAAACTCAAAATCTAATCTCTGATTTAAAAACGTAGTAGATTGTTCCGAGAACATTTTGAGACAAAAAAAGAGCCAAAAAACGCCGACCCAAAGCAGAACTCAAACGTTTTGAGATGAACAGATGAAATACTTAGTTCGAATAAAACGGAAATCGAATCACTTCATGAAAAAGAGTAATTTTTATTTATTCAGACTGAAACATTAAAAATGAAGAAACAAATCGGTAGCCAGACCGAATCGCTACGATCTTTACTCTCCACGCTCTATGGTAGATACATTTTTGCTTCCCTTCTAAAACCTACGCATTATATAATAAGAAAAATTGGTAACTGTTAACTTTATTTGTATTGTTTCAGGTAGAAAAGATAACAATGAGACTGAACCGATTAAGGATAAATTCACACCACCACCACCCGCACCGAAATTTAACGAAGGTAAGCCATCAAAACTTTTAAATAATCGACCGGGAGAACCATTTACTTTCATTGGAATATTACAATTTTTTGAATGATTTGTTCTCTGCAAGGAAAGAAATGGGCCACTAGACAGGATCTGTAGTAGAAGAAAACGTCATATGTTTTCTATTCAAAATCTTTCATATAAAACAATTTACACTACAGGCAGTTTTGAAATCAACTTCTGAGCGAGATATTAACAAGTCTCTTTATCACAGATCAAATGGAGGTTTCATTATGCATATTACATCATTTGTATGTCTGCAATTTAACCAATCTTAATAGAAAACACTTTATATCTTATTCAGCAGTTGATTTTCAGTTTTCCCGTTGTGTACTTCGTTTTCCTCGTAAAATTTTGAAACACGTAGCGTTGTGCTTTAATTCATACCTCGTCTAGAGGCCCACTAGAGTATATTTTTGCGTTCGTTTCTTGAGGGGTATAAAATGTAATAATTTTGTGGGAAAAAAACTATTTTGTTATAATAAAATACGTGATAAGAACCTCACCTAACAGCAAAACTTGAAAGTAGGCAAGTAATTTGCCAAAATTTTCGCACCTTCGGTAAGGATTTCGTTCAATAGCTCTAAAAAAATTCTGTTGGACTCGAAATCTCTTGCTTACTTTTATAGTGTAGTGCTATCGGTATGATATCCAATAGGGTATTCAATTATTTGTGGTAATCAAAAATTTCTCCTGATTTGCTCAAGATCTCAGCTTATCTATGGTAAAGTCAATTTTTTTTTTAATGAGAGAGGAAAGTCCAAAAGCTTAAACAATTACCTTTTTCTATTTTGAAAAAAAAAGAAAGGCAAAAAGACAAAAAATTCTGGGAGGACTTGACGAGGGCTCTGCAA